ATTCTCTGTTTTGCTCATACTACCCATGGCCCACGGTTTGACCGACTGTTTTTTTATGAATTAATCATTTATTCATTAAAAGTCCCTATTATATTAAGTTGATAATTTATTTTAATTTTAATCAATTTGTATAATTATATTTGTATGCATTAAAAAGAAAGACACTTAATACAAATAATAATATCGGTAAAGTTCTGTTGTGACTTGGTTACTTTTCTGACTAGTAATGCTTGACATATTTAATCAATATTATGAGAAATGATTTACATTATGACCTATTATAGTCTTAAAACACAAATAAACGTTAAAAAATATAGCATTGTAAACAGGCAAATAATTAAGAAATAAGACAACCGTAGAGAAACGTAGGCTCAAGCTATTTGCCAAATCCATTTCCAACGTCTAAAAAAGTATGTTGTTTAATTTGTAATTATAGAATTCTATTATTAAACAAATGAACAGAATTGCCGTGCAAAACATTTTTAAAATCGATATTTTATCTGATTGTTGTAACATGTCACTACTATATTGATTCGACTTAAATTTGGAGAATAATAAAACATTTATTTTTATGCTCATTGGATTCAAAAAAGGTTTAATAAAAAATTAAAAAAATCATTACTAACTAAGTATCAGGAATGACATATTGCTCCCTTGGAATAGAAAAACACAAACAAAAGTCTCTCCTAACGAAATTTGATAGAGTCATAAAAGGTAGTTTTTTTTATTGAAATCAAGTTTATTTATACAATGCAATTAAAAATACGGATCGTTATATACGGATTATAAATACTTTGGATTGGTTGATAAAATTTATGAAAGATATAATACATAAAATCAAATTGATTTTTTAATGGCTTAAAACAATATATTTACTTTTTGCAAGCTATCAAACAAAAATGTTTAACAAAAACACAATGGTTCATTCAAGGTTAATTTTGCAGACCAAATATCTTTTATTGTGCTTTTCTTTCTTATTTTAGAAGGTGTAGGTTGTTTCATAAATATAATCTTTACCGTTGGCACCGTGTCGGCAGAATTTTTGCCATAATCATTCTGAACAAATTATTTTGTATTGTTCGGGTAAATACCTAAATGTAAAAAAAAATCTTTGAAAGAAAGAATGATGTGATGTGCAATCAAATAGTTCTTTCCACTTACCTTCCCTTTTTATGATTGTGATAAAGGAAATATTTTCATAAAACTTACTTTATGAACGAACGGGTTATGCACGAAGTTTTATCTATTTATATTTAAAACATTATCGAGGCTTTAAAAATACATGTACATTTGGTACATCTAATAAAGGTTCCATACGGAAACGATGAAACGTATGACATTAGACGCTTGCGGTGGAAAAGTCATATAAAATATAGTGAAAAGCTTTCTATCAAATTCCGGAAAATTTACTGAATAATAAGCAGACGATCTCCTGTGCCCATTAAAATTAAGCTTTTATTTTCTCCTTCTACCGTCCTCAAGCCTATGTTGATGAGATGTTTTCAAGATGGTGCTAAATGAAGACGAACGTTTTCAAAGTGCTTTGAAGGGTTTAAACAATGTAATTAAAACAAGTGGAAAACACATGGCTGACATAAGCGAAAACATTAAAAATGTAATTGGATCTTTAACCGAAATATATATTTCGATGACCAGTAAGATCTTAAAGTAGGAATCGGAAGTGAAAGATAAATCATGTAATGATGATCGAACAGCTACTATTCACAATATATTCGGTTGGTGGAAAATTAATACAAATTTTAAAAATTTGTTTTATTTTCGCAGGTGCTTGTCATGTAAACAAAGCTAAATCCTCAAATCTAATTTATGGATTATAAAAAACAATATTAAATTATCTTTTGTACAAAACATTGTAGTTGTCATTGAATTTTATAAGAGTGAGGTCCTGCAAAATTTAACATTCGAACTAGATTTTCGACAAATTTATCTGAATTTAAACTTAGGCTAAGTGCGGCCGAAACCGCGCGTAACATTAATAGTTTCGGGAGATGGAAGCATTAAAGATGCTTTCAGAGATTTCCATCTCGAAGACATGGAAGGCCGCGGAAGGCCTTCCGACCAACGCAGAACATTGATTGAAGAAAATTCGTGTAAGACAAGATGGTAAATAGCGGAAGAGCTTAGTGGTGAACACTCAACCGTGTTCGCCATTTGCAGAAAATTGGTAAGGTAAAAGAGCTCGATAAGTGGGTACCCCAGAATCTAAACGAAGCTCAAAGAAATCGGCGCTTTGAAAGTTTCATGTCCCTTCTGTTGCGCAACCAAAATGATCTATTTCTCGATCAAATCATCACATTCTATGAGTAATGGATTCTGTACGATAATAGGAGGCGTACAGGTCAGTGGTCGTATAAAGATGAAGCGCCAAAACAATTCACGAAGCCAAATGTGCGCCCAAAAAAGGTCATGGTTGACTATTTCGTGGTGTATTGTTGGGGTGGTTCACTATAATTTCCTGAATTAGGTGAAACTATCACAGCAGAGAAATATTGCCATAAAATTGACAAAATGCAGGGGAAACTGCAATGTTAGTCACGATATCGACAGGCCACACATGTCGCAAGGCCAATCGCAAGGAGACTTAAGGACTTAGGATATGAAATCTTACCTCACCATCCATATTCACCCGATTTCTTGCCTACAGGCATCCACTTTTTTAGGCATTTTGATCACTTCTTGGAAGATTAAATATTTAGAGAATGCGGATAAGCCCGAAAATCTACCAAGACTTTACTGTGAATCGAAATAAAGATTGTTATGTCAGCGGAAATAAAGCGCTTATTACATATTGACAAAGAGATATTGATTGTGATGAAAATATTTCAAGTAAATTTTCTTTATTTTATAGAAATGAAAAATAATTTTGACTGCCTTTTCAAAACCTCCATTAATTATTCGGAAATCGTGAGATGCGGTCTGGTGTGACGCAGGTTTAGAAAAACATTTTTTTATTGTGCCAACGTTTCGATCTTTATTGAGATCATCTTCAGGGCCTCAGATTTATAAACATTTTTTAAATTATACAAATACATGTATGATGTGAAAATAAATTTATACAATGATGTACATAATATAGAAATTTTAGGTTTGATCAAAGCATCTGTATTATTGCAACTGTATTATTGCCAACTAACAACATGATGCCGGAATGCAATCTGCTTTATCAGATTTCATCTGCATTGATGTTATCCCAAAAAATTTCCTTCCTTTTTTCTCTGATAAGTGCCTACTGTTATGACAAAAATAACCTAGAGAAAGATTTAAAAAATTAACAAATTCTGCAAAAAACTTGTCAAATAAAAATATTAATAAAATGCTAGCATATTTTGTTTGCGTGACCACTTTCACGTTCTCGGGGTTTACGCATGGATTCGGTTGAATTAAATAAAATATAGTTAAGTGAGGCGAGGTGCAGTTTGGGTTTGCTAGGGTTGATGGTTTGGGTTATCGGTAAACATATCTAACCCAACATTTTTCTCTAACCTAACTTAAAGGGTATGTTAGTTTCATAGAATTAGGTTCTGAGACGGTAGGTTTACGTAGGGTTAGAGCTAGGGACAGATTGGGTTAGGTTATATTGATAGATTTTGATTCAGGGGCAGGTTATAGAAGGTTAGGGTTACGTAGGATAAGATTAGGTAGAATTAGGATTACGGTTAGAGTTAAGAACAAGTTAGATTAAAACTTATCCATTATTTAATTATTGTCCATGGAACAAAGGAGATATACATGTGCGAAGCGCCAATTTTAAAAGTCCGATATCGTCCTGAACGTCGCGCATGTTTTCGATCTTTATTGAGATCATCTTCAGGTCCTTGTGTTGTCTGTATTTCAACAAAAAGTTCTCTGATTGATAGCCGATGCAAGTTTTTTCAGAAGGACATCGCCAACAATTAGAAGAAACTTGCATCGGCTATCAATCAGAGAACTTTTTTGTTGAAATACAGACAACACAAGGCCCTGATGATGATCTCAATAAAGATCGAAACGTTGGCACGATAAAGAAAATGTTTTTTTCTAAAACCTACGTCACAACAGACCGCATCTTTAAAAAAAATGTTTAATTTATTTTCTCTCTATAGAAAAATATAACAATGTTTGATCGAACCATAAGGCGGTCATGAATTATTTAGTTGCAAAATATATCAATTATTTCTGACCATTTTATATTTCTGGTATTAACGTACTCTACTGTAACACTGCAAAAAATTAATAAATATTTTATGTATTCTTAAAAAAATTTAAATGAATAAAGTAAACACAATGACAACATTATGAACATGAGCATTAATTGATGATCTTCTAAGTTTAGTAGTAGTTTTTAACTGTAAGTACAGTTCAAGTTTCTTTGGTATAACTTCGCAATTAATTTTTTATTACTGTACCGTCTAATTAGTTGGATTTGAAATTATATAACTATATTATTTTAACTGGAAAGTTTTTACGTATCTGGAAAATTTTAAAAAAGTTTTAACTAAGATGAGAAAGTCTCATTATTGGCATTGTGATGAATTATTGTGGTCATTAAACCTACTTGTTTTCTTAAACAATAACAAAATTATTTTATTTCTCTTGAAAGTTTCTTTTCTTTTTTTTTACCAAATATGCGGAAAGCTGAAAAATTCTTTTGGTATGAGTTGGAATAAATCACTCACAATAACAAAATATCAGAGAAAATATTGTTTCATAAGTTATTTTATAATCTAAAACCGCATGGAGGTATTTTTGACAGAATTATTTTAATTTTTGCTTAAAAAACTGACTAATATCGTGTTAATAAATTATATATTGAAATACGTGCTTTGTGAAAATATTAATTGTGAGAAAAATAATTAAATGTGCTAAATCTGTGGGTTAAGTGGTAATTCCTGAAAATATTTATTTAAATGTGTGAAACGTGCAAAAAGATTAAACAAAACTATTATGTTGTTTGTTACCAATTTTACCATGCCTAACAATGACAAAAATAAAGAACGCACCGTTTTAACTATGGTGACCGTCTCACTGGTTGCGTCAGTAAAGGCTCTTCGCAGTTTGGCCCTTCTCTGCTGCGCCAAAGTGTTCGGGTTGAGGAGGATCCCCTGGGGAACAGATGGAGTCATGACTGATCTTAAAAGTAGCCGCCCCATCCCGAAGAAGAAAATCCGATGAAGGCTTCCCGTTCGATAATCATCGATCGCTTAAACGCCAAGGTCGAATATTTAGCACCAGGTAGAACAACGTGTCCTCATTTAAGAACCCATGACATTGTTTTTTTCCCCTATACACGACGATATATAAACGAGATTGATTCCACAAAACATCAAAGTTGACTGCCTGTTTCTATGCCCCTACTCTTTGACCTGGTGTATGAATATTGATGACATCAATAAAACGTCTATCCTTGACTTGGTTATTCTCTCACGAAAGGAAATTTAATAAATATTGTCGTATTCTCTTAAAACCGTTAAACTTTGGCTTAAACCGATTTTATGTAAAAATGTAACTGCAAACATATATTCAAAACAAGGTGCTATCTGGAAAATCATTTCGTACGCATTTTTAACCATTCAAGACAAATTAATACACCGAACTGTTTAAAAAATACAGAATATAATGAAAAATTTAAATTAACATAAAAAGTACAAATAAACGCTCCATTCTTTTTTATGCTCTTCAGAGTACTACCTAAAATATAATAATACTATATTACTTTAATATAATGATAACTTGTATCGAATATTCTTTAGTAAAATGACATTTAAAAATGTTTTACATGAAAAATTGTACAATCTGAACGATAAATGAAAAACTAGACAAAAATAATATTGTATTGGAGGCATTATTCAATTTTGCACAATACAATAGTCAGTTTTATTTTTATTTTCATGCCCTCCCTCCAGTCGAAAATATCGCAACACCCTGACATTTTTGTATTTTAATAAAACATCTATTTTTACATAAACCACAAAGGCTCAGAAGTACAATATAAACGATTTCATTTTTCTTTAACCTAAATATATAGTAAAATATCATTCAATTAATTAATATTTATGTAAGGCATTGGTTTAGATAAAAAAGTCCGTGTCACGTGTTGGATTCGAACCCAAGACTTTCGGCTAAATACGCCGCTGCTCTACCACATGAGCGAACGTGACTTCAATCTCCCATGCCACAGACTAGCCATTTCGACTCTCCATGGCATGGGCGATTGATGTAGCTTTGTGTAGTAGCTCATGTGGTAGAGCAGCGGCGTATTTAGCCGAAAGTCTTGGGTTCGAATCCAGCACGTGACACTGACTTTTTTATTTTTAACTTTTTTAACCCACCTTTAAAATTTTCCTTCGTTTTTGTCATTTTTCAAATGTCGTGTAATCTAATCGATTCTCGGCGACAAATGAAATGGCTACGGAGAGCTTTCGTGAAGATATATTTCATTCTAATTATTAAATCCATTAGAGTTCGAGGTCCGTTTGACCAAATAACTTCTTTCATAGGTTCGAAAGCCGCTCGTGGCACTGACTTTTTTATCTCAACCAATACCTTACATAAAGATTTCTTATAACTTTTCAGCAGTTCTTTGGCTTTAATTGATTAGTTCCATCCCTTTTGGCATCAACCCTGAGTTATGTTGTTCCTTTCTTCTAGCCACCCGCGCTTAGTAATGTGGTACAGGGTTAATCGGTCAGGTCCAGACTTCTGCTGGCTACTCAATTGTATGGATACCTGTGGTGGCCAGATACTTAGAACGCACGTGTTGCCTTACGTGGCCAAGCATTATCGTACATAAGCAATGACTATCTATCAAAGACATAAAAGACACTTCAAGATTCTGTAGATTCATCTCCACATATCGTAAAGCATTCAAGTGTGGATTCATACAAATTCGGTACTCAAATTTTTCTACCGCAGAACATGTTAGACCCTTCTTCCAAATTCACTGTTTCCAAGTTCTGCACTTACTAGCTCTTTCTTTCTCCATCTCACGACCATTTGGAAAGTTAAAACATGTGATGCACAGTGCAACAGTCAATGACCACTTGATTTGTGTTTCCTTACATTCTCTCTCTCTCTCTCTCTCTCTCTCTCTCTCTCTCTCTCTCTCTCTCTCTCTCTCTCTCTCTCTCTCTCTCTGGTGTTCTGCGATAAAGATATTCGACGGGTCTTTCTAGACCTTTATATTTTCTTTTTGATCTAAAATTTGGCTCTCAGTTTTCTTCTTACAATTGATTTTGTAATTGATATCATCTGAATTCAGTGATCGGTTCTTAACATCAGAAGTTGTTGAATTGAGCTTCCGGATTGAGAAGGTCGTTTACGACATTTGCTATTTTTTGATGTTTTGAATATAGCCGCCTTCTTGTCCATTTTAATGACCTTTAAAGTGATGAATAATGAATACCACTGCAATTAGCGATATAGCGCAATGATTTATCTTCTTTATGACGAATGATAATTTTGACTGATTCATCGTGACATAAACGATTCATTGTGACACAAACAAAATTAACAGAGTAAACGCTGCCAACACAACGTATGAACGGACCGAAAGAAACGTTGGTATGAACTAAGAAAAACATTGATCCTTTGGTTTTTGGTAAGCCGAGATTAAAAATATGATTCCCGATGATTTACAACCAATAGTATTACCATAAATATAAATAAAATGTGGGTTAAGGTCAAAAACTAAAAAATATGGAAATTTTATAGAGTTTGCAATATTTTAAACGAGGCTTGTATTTCAATTGTCGGAGAAAAAGTTATATTTTTTAAAAATCTTATATTCTTTGTTGGCCAAAATGTTTAGAATTGTGGATTTTTTTGGTCATAATTTCTGTTGGAATTTTAACCAACAATAAACTAGCAGAAAGAGAAGACAGAATTTCTTATTTATTTAAATTAGATAAATTTCGTATTTGATTATAAATTAGTAGAAGCAATTAAAATGTTTTGAAAACAAAAGGTACAATCTGTACAATACATATTGATTTTATAAATTATATACATAGTTAATGGCTGTGAATATGTCAAAACTGAGCAATTGATGGGTGCTGCAGCCAAGAAAACACTTTGCACAAAAAAATATGATTTGATCGATATTTCGAACTTTCATGTACTTTTTTTCAAGGTAGAATTTTTTAAATAATTCGTCTTATAGTTCAGGCTTTCGAGTACGTACAATTTTTTTATTCTTACATATTAGCATTAGTTTTTAAAAAGGGGTAGTGACAAATCAGATGTATTAAAGAGTTTTAATTTTATTTACTGTACATTATAAAATAAGGTATTACTTGGTGAATAAATCCTGCGTTAGGCGTTCTTTTGCTTGGCATTGTTTTCAAGCTTCCGTGGAAAGATAAGCACAAACAACAATTCGCTGTTTTAATTAGAAGGCATAAATGCGCTATAGTATAAGGAAGATAATCTATTTGTAATGGTTACACACTTCTAGCTGATTAACTGATATTAATTTGGCTTGTTTGCGCCATCTTACGACAGCCGTTAAATATGCCCGGGATAAATATTTGCAGAAGCGGGGGTGCAAGAGAGACTGTTAAAGCTAAATTTATTATTTAAAGTTATGCCGTTTACTAACAACAAAGGAAAACCGTTTTTGGGGTTAGTATTAGTATTATTTATCATTTTTTAAGACAGATAAAACAATCTTTGATCAGTCAAGATTTAACTCTAGTAATTCTTCATCATTGGTGTTTATCCATTAGAGTTCGTGGTTCTATTGACCAATTAACTTTTTTCAATTAATTAATATTTATGTAAGGTACAGGTTGAGATAAAAATGTCAGTGTCACGAGCGGGATTCGAACCCAGGATCTTCGGCTAGATACGCCGCTGCTCTACCACTTGAGCTATCGTGACCTCCATCAACTCGGACACTAACTTCCCATCTCAACCCCACCTTTTGAATTTTCCCTCTTTTTTGCCAATTTTTCAAATGTCGTGTAATCTATTTGATTCTCGGGGAAACTGAAATGGCCACGGAGAGCTTTAGTGAAGGTATACTTCTTCATTGGCTAGATACGCCGCTGCTCTACCTCTTGAGCTATTGTGACTATAGCTATTTTTTTTTAAATCTCAACCAATACCTTACATAAAGATTAATTAACTGAAAAGAAATTGTTCAATCGGTCCACGAACTCAAATGAATTTAATAAGTAAAACGAAGTATGTCTTCACTAAAGCTCTCGGTGGGCATTTCGTTTGTCGCCGAAAATCGAATTGATTACCCGACATTTGAACAATAGCAAAAAAGGAGGGAAAACGTGGGTTGAGGTGGGAAGTTAGTGTCCGAATGGATCGAAGGCACGAAGCGTGTGGTAGAAGGTCGTGGGTTCGAATCCCGCCCGTGACACTGACTATTTTATCTCAACCAATACCTTACATAAAGATTAATTATTGTTTATGTGTTTAGCTTTAACTAGATATACTACGTATTAAATTTTTTAATGTTATTATTTCAACGGAATTCTTTGAAAATCGATATTCGTTATTCATCAAATAAATATCTTATTTGAAAAACAGAATCTTTAATTCCCCCCGTTCAAGTATTAGTTCATTCTTAGCTTTCAAAGATTGAAAAACATAATGATAAGAATACAGTGTAGACTAAAAGGAAACTATTGTCATAATGATCTTGTTCAAACATTCTACTTAGTCGCGGTCAAAGTGAAATTAACACAAATGCAGTTAGTAGTTTCCCGAGTTTAGAGAAGCGGATTTATCACTCGAAGAATCGAAAACAAAGGAGGAGTCGTGGAATACTGAAACTTTTAATTAAAAGTAATATTGGTTAGCCAGCCGTCGGATTCTTAACTCATCAGATGAGAGTATTAAAAATCTGAATCTCAAGTTGTGTTTTTTTCTTTTCAAAACCACATGAACAGGACCGGCAACGAGTGGACTGGTGCAGTTTAACAAAATATCGAACGTATTGGATGTTTGCTAACAATAATTTATTTTAATCTTAATTTCTGACGGAAAATGTCAATATTAGCAAAGTCTGTCCTATCTCTACGGCTATACTTATTAAGAATCAACTAGGTTTATACGAATAATGGCGTTCATTAGTTAATGGTTATGGAGT